TTTCTTTAATATTTTATATTAAATATCTATTCAATATTTTAGATTTTTTAAGTTTCATTTTATAAACCTATTTTTTTTATAGAAAATTTTCTTTAATAAGATTTGATTTACCGCATTTTTATTTTTATTTTTAATATTTTGTATTAAATATTATTCAATGCTTTTTTCGAAATCATGACATAAAATTTATATTAAATTCGAAATTTATGTTACTATTATTTGGTGTTGTTTATACCATAGACTTATTATAATATTGATAAATTTTAGTATTTTCTAAAAAATTTATCATTATTTCTTTTAATAATGACTTATACATTTATATTAGAAAAATACAAAAACAAATAATATTTTTATTATGCAACAGTGAGATCCACCAACAAATCATTTTAGTTTAAAGAAATCATTAATTTTTAATTAAAATAAATTATAAGTAAAAATAGATGTCATTGAACAAAATAATATTTACTTATCGACAGAAATACATTGTTGATATATATATTTAAACATACTTAATATATTTTATAAAGATGATATATACTAATTAAACATAATATTTAAATATAATTAAATTATATATTTTATATTGATGACATATACTAATTAAATTTAATTTTAATATTATATATTTCTCCATACTAAAATTATTCTGTCTCTAATCACAATTTTTATCAAAGTGGTATAATATAAAATTAAATTAAATACAATATATATATATATATATATATATATATATATATATATATATATATATATATATATATATATATATATATATATATATATATATATATATATATATATATATATATATATATATATATATATATATATATATATATATATATATATATATATATATATATATATATATATATATATATATATATATATATATATATATATATATATATATATATATATATATATATATATATATATATATATATATATATATATATATATATATATATATATAGAACAACTGAAACAAATATTTAAGGAGTCAATACAGTTTTAATAAAATTTATATTTTCATATCGTGAAAATATTTTGAAACATAAAAAATAAAATTATTAACTCAATTATTGTTATAAACGGGAACAACTGTAGTATTTATTCAAATATTTTTATAAATACTATCAAAACAAAAATAATATTTTGATTCAAATATTTTTATATACAGAAACACCCTTACTATTGATTCAAATATTTTTATAAATAGTGTTAAAACAAAGTTAATATTAGATTATTATATTTACTACGTTTTGAATATTTAACGTTGTTGTTATTATTGTTTCGTTTTATTTCAGATATCAAAGTTGAACCAGGTAAAATCAGTTCGTTCTATCTAAAATGTATGTTTTCATTCAATTAATATTTTCTTACTAATTCACTTATTCTCATTATTAGTTTGTACACTTTTTTTCTACGAAGTTAAAGTTCGTCTAAAACATCCAAATATTGTGTAGTATTAAGGTAGTGAAATAGTAAGAACTCTAATTGATTATTGCATGTCCTATGTCCATGATAAACATTTTTCTTATTGAACTGCAACACAACCTAATAATTAGTTATAATATATATATGTTTGTGTTCTTAGGTTGAAATTCAAATATGGCATGAGAGATGAACATTTGTTTGAAATTCAATTTTCCAATTTTTATACCGTGCGAAGAAACCACTCAATAATGTAATATTTGGAGAAAAATTTCATTTTGAATGTTGTTGGTGATAGACTTTTCTATGTTAATCTTCCTATATTCCTTTGGATCTTTGGTTCTGTTTGTATGCTTTATAATCTTGATTTTGCATGTGCAATTGGGAAGTGGAGACAAAATTGTGATTTAGCATGTCTTGCTATTTGTTAATAATAAAATTCATTTTGTCTTTTTCAACAAAAAATTGTATTGAATTGATTTGTATGAGATGACAAATATATTATATGAAAAAGATTATGTATGCTAACTGATCTAACTGGTGATAGGGTGGGTTTGAGAATAGTGCAAAGCAGTATAGAAAACACAAAATAATAATAAGAAATAGTTTTGATTACCTATAAACATCATGTCATGAGTAGTTTGAAAAAAGGTGGGTCAATAGCTCAATAGATACCGTCATACAAAAAAGTAGGGATCATTAGGAATATCACCAAGGCTTTAGATATATTGTAAACAACTCTCCCATAAATCATTCAAAAGTTTATATTTATTTCAATAAAATATATTTTAATTTAATGATAGTGATTAAAATTTCTTATAAAATATTTTGTGAATAAAAAATTGTGATTATAAATTTTTTATAAAACATGATTAAATATTGAGAATCTTCTCACTTGGTATAAAAGCTTTTACTTGACAAAAAAAATCATATACATGATTCTGATATTAAATATGGTTTATTTTTGCTTTCTATTTAAACTTATTTATTTATTTTAAAAGTTTTTAAATAATTTTTTTACTTATTTTAATTGGTATAAACTTATTTATGGACATACATTTGGTAAAACCATATGTTTGACAGGAGTACTGATTATATATATATTAGTATGTTATAATAAGTCGTAGATAGATGTGTTATATAGGATTATGCAAAAGGTTTTATGGTCCACCAGCATTGAGCATCGATATAAGTGTTGCAGAAGTGCATTGACAAGTCAAATTTTTGTCTTTCCTCATACACTAGGATGCAGATTTCTCAAAAGCAAATGTCTATTCATGGTTTCATATAGGCAGCAACCCTTTATTATAATATAGAAGAGGGATTATAAAAGTAATTTTTATCACTTTAGTTTTCAAACCCGATTTTTTATGATTTTCTATTTTAGATTTATGAGCATCATGTAAGAACCTTTTATCTAACTCATTAGTAATATATGATTTAATGTATTCCGGATGGAAATGATGTACAAAGTTAGGCCACTCAAAAAAGAACGAAAATATTCACGAAGAATGCAACATATATAATAATGATCAATTGAATTAAATTTTACATTTATGATAAATTGTTACTCTATTTTTTAGTCCTTAATTAGGATTTGGATCCTCTCCTTTTTTATATATCCTGTCATCTCTCATATTTCTAATCTAACGGTTTAGAATTTATAATTAATAATTAAATAAAAAAAGTCATTTAATAGGAGAGAGAATCCAAATCCAAATACATACTATTACTCTCTCCTATTAAATGACTTTTTTTTATTTAATTATTCATTATAAATTCTGAACCGTTAGATTAGAAACATGAGAGATAGTAGGATATATAAAAAAGATAGGATCCAAATCCTATTCTTGGATTTGGATCCTCTCCTTTTTTATATATCATGTCATCTCTCATGTTTCTAATCTAACGGTTCAGAATTTATAATGAATAATTAAATAAAAAAGTCATTTAATAGGAGAGAGGATCCAAATCCAAATACATAATATTACTCTCTCCTATTAAATGAATTTTTTTATTTAATTATTCATTATAAATTTTGAACAATTAGATTAGAAACATGAGAGATGACATGATATATAAAAAAGGAGAGGATGCAAATCCTATTCTTGGATTTGGATCCTCTCCTTTTTTATATATCATGTCATCTCTCATGTTTCTAATCTAACGGTTCAGAATTTATAATGAATAATTAAATAAAAAAAGTCATTTAATAGGAGAGAAGATCATGTCCTTTTTTAGAAAATAGAACATATGACATAAAAGTATAAATATGGTAACATATTAAAAAATAGTGATTTGTATTAGATTTTAAATTATTGAGAATATATTATTTTTATATACAAAAAAATAATGTATGGTTAATTCAAATATTTTTATAAACGATATTATTTTTATATACGAAAAAACGATATTATTTTTTTTAAATAGACACAAGTAACATTTTAATAAAACTTGTTTTAATAGGTTAATTATGTTAGTAGATTCAACTAACTTATGAATTGCATGTGTCTTTTTTATAAGCAATATATTTGAATATTTTACACAAATTAAAACATGTAATTAAATAATAAAAAATAAAAAATTATATGATCAAATATTAATATAATCATCACTATCATAAATATAAATGGTCAGATATTAACTTGAAAGTATGATAAAAAAGATATTAAATTTTAAAAAATCTTATTAAACCAATTAAATAGGGTGCATTTGAAGATTCGAAATTCCACTTATTTATCTTTAAAAAGGAATTTATGACCGTTAAACTAATAGATCAAAAATATTAATTTAAAAAATAATTAATATATCAGTTTGGCCTATTTTCAACCCCTATACATATTGAAAATATAAATAGAAAATGGTGATTTCTATATTAAATATTTATATATACGGGAACTACTTTAATATTGATTCAAATGTTTTTATAAATAATATTTATATACAAAAAAATACATTGTTAATTCATATATTTTTATATATAAAAAAAAAACTATTGTTATAAACGGACACAACTTTACTTTTTTTTTTTCTTTTGAGTAAAAGAAACTTTATATTACTTCAAAAAATATAAGTAAGTACAAGCGATCCTCTTCCAGATCCAGCCACTAACACAAACCAAATAGGACTAATAGAGTCAAGAAAAACTAAAGATAATTATCCCCCATCTAACATAAGAATAGCTATGTATTTTCTAATTTTCTTGGTATTCCATCCTCTGTATACCAATGTATCTATAAATGTCTTCCCACTATGGTTGTATCTTCATTCATATCAAAAAAAAATATTCCTAATCATCCAAAGTTCATATATAGTTTCGGATGCCGCCATTTTAATGATAGCCGCCCTTGCTCCTTTTCCCTTTGTGTTCTGCATCAGCCAATTAAGTTCGTCTTGCCATCCCCCCGGGACACGATGGATCTGCATCCACTGTAGGACTTCCTTCCAAATACTTCTCATTATTTCACATTCGAAGAATAAATGATTTAGAGATTCATCATTCGAACAGAAACAACATTCAGTGTTTTCAATCACGCCGAACCTAACTAACATGTCCTTAGTTGCTAATCTATCATGACAAGGCAGCCACCTGCCAGCTTCCCTTTTGTGGTGAGATCATCCCTTTGACTAAGAATGACCTTCATAATCCAAGAATCATTGCTGGTACACTCTATATCCAGCAAACTTCTATTTTTGATGTAGTATGCCTGTATCCATCTCCCCCACAGCGAGTCTTCTTTCCCACTCAAATTCCAAAGCAGTTTCATTAAGTTGACATTATTCAACACTTCAATATCTATGATATCCAACCCACCATAGCCAAATGGTTTACAGACCTGTTTCCAAGATACGGGTGACTTACGGTTACCTGCAAAACCGCCTGTCCAAAGAAAAATATGGCAAATTGTTTCAATTTTTTTAAGGACACCTTTAGGGAAGGGAAAACAGTTTAACCAATAGTTGGTCGTCGCAAACATCACGCTTTTTATAAGCTGTAATCTCCCCGCATAAGTTAGTAACCGCGTTGTCCAGTGCTGTACTTTTTCAACAATTTTGTCAATCAGCGAAGAATACTGGGCAATAGATAACTTCTTACTCGTTACGGGTACCCCTAGATACCGGAACGGTAACTGTCCCATTTGGAAATCTGATGCCATACGAATATCTTTCTTCGTCTTCTCATCTACACCAGCAAGATAAATTCGACATTTTTGTGGATTCACAACTAAACCCGTGGCCTTCGAGAATTTGGCATATGCCGCCATCATTAAATCGACTGAATTCTTGTCGCCTCTAGAGAATAGAAGGAGGTCGTCCGCAAAACACAAATTTGTAATATTCAGTTTCTCACATTTCGGGTGACAGTTGAAGTTACTATTTTGTTGCATTTTGAAGAGGTAACGATTCAAGCATTCCATTACAATGACAAAAAACACAACTTTACTTTTGATTCAAATATTTGTATATACATGAACAACTTTACTATTGATTTAATTTTTTTTATAAATAATGTCAAAATAAAATTAATATTTATATACGAGAAAAAAATACGTTATTGATTAAAATGTTTTTATATAAGGGAAAAAAATACTATCGTTATAAACGAGAACAACTTTACTATTGATCAAATATTTTTATAAATATTGTCAACAAAAAATAATATTTTGATTTAAATATTTTTATAAACGGGAACAACTTTACTATTGACTCAAATATATTTATAAATAATGTAAAAAAATAATATTTATATACAGGAAAAAATATATTGTTGATTAAAATATTTTTATATACGAAAATAAATATTATTGTTATAAACGGGATCAACTTTATTACTGATTCAAATATTGAATAACAGAAGTTTATCTATCATTGTATTATCTCTTATAACATAATTGTCTTATTTGTTAAAAAATTTAAACATTTCATTTATCTAATACAAGTTTCAATATTTTTTTAATCATATTATTATTGATATTGTTGCTTATCTTTCATCTCTTATATTTAATAATTATACTAATTTATTTTTTAATATATAATTTTATTTAAATATTTTATGGGACAAATTTGTGTCATTCATAAATATTAAAACATACTAAAAAAATACTTTGTTGATTCAAATATTTTTATATAAATTCAAATATATAAGTAATGTCAAAACAAATTTAATATTTATATACCGGATCAAATTTGTTGTTGATTATAGACACTAATTTATTATATCTTTTAAAAATAATAATTTTTTTGATTGGAAATTTTAATTTTTTTTAATTTAATTTTTATTATAATTTGTAAAAAAATGCGCGTACCATACCAGTACCCGAACGAATACACGGGTCTCCCACTAGTTTGAAAAAAAATGCTACTCTCAAATTAGAACAACAGTGAACATGAATGGAGAAAATTATTTTCAACTATCAGCTAAACAAGTCTAAACGCATTTTGGACCCGTTCATTTTGATTTTTTTTAAAATAATTTTTATAGTGTAACATATTTTAGTGTAAAAAAATTTACAAAGAAACTTTTCATGAAACTTACAAATGAAAATTTGGTTTGAATAGTTATTCTTAAAATATTATTTTATGTATTTCATCATTTTATCGAAAAAAAATTTAGATATCAAAATTTCAAAAAAATCAATTAATTTTGAAGCTATTTCAAATAGCTTTTTATAAAAATCATTTTTGAAATACAATTTTTTAAAAAAGAACTATAATTTTAACTATGTTTTGATCTTAAATAATGTATATTTATGTTATATTATATCAAAATTAGTCTTTTAATTTATAAAAAACAAATTTATAAAAACTTTTAGTATTTTGAAAAATATATTTGTAGAATCCATTTTAAAAATACAAATAAAAAATTTATTTTTTTAAAGTTAAAACAAACTTACCCTTAATGTCATCTAGTTAATAATCAATTTTCTCTCTCTCTCTCTCTCTCTATCTATCTATCTATCTATCTATCTATCTATCTATATATATATATATATATATATATATATATATATATATATATATATATATATATATATATATATATATATATATATATATATATATATATATATATATATATATATATATATATATATATATATATATATATATATATATATATATATATATATATATATATATATATATATATATATATATATATATATATATTATTAACTCTTCTCCGCATGGCACAATCAAGAGGATATTCACTGAAACATAAAGTGTTAACCACACCTATTTCATCTTACATATTTTTAACTTTAAGTGTTAGTCTTATTACTTTATTCATAATTATGGTTAGTTGTTATAACCACCCTTTTTATTCATAATGTATGGTTAGTTGTTATAACCACCCTTATTATGTAAGTTGGTTATGACCGAAAGTGTGTGTATATATATACCTTCTTTCATTATGTTTTTTTTATAGGTAAAGAAAAATCAAATTATAAAAGCACAAGGGTATTTTAATATTATGAGTAATGTTAATTTGTGCCCTTGGGGCACATGTTAAGAAAATCACTTTTAGTAAATTTGTATTGGAAAAAATAATTTAAAAAATAATTTTATACTTTAATTTTAATTTGTACACAATTTCCAAGATGATATTTCTTAATTTAGTTCTTAACCTGTGCCCCAAGGGCACAAGTTAACATTACCCTAATATTATTAGTGTTATGTCTTCCATCGATTACTCCACGTTTACTCAATTCCATCCAACACGACAAGCTCTTATGAATTATCCTCCAACCAAAAATTAGAGTTCTGCCACTTATCGCAACTCAACTACTAAACATTGTCGCACCACTAATAAGAGTTATTGATCTTGCTGCCAAAAACTTCTACCTTCGACAAAACAGATGGAAAAATCTCGTAAAATAGTTTCTCCCGTACCCAATAATTCCTCCAAAAATTAATAGAACTTCCATCGCCTAACTTACATAAAATAGAAAATCAGACCACAAATCATTATGTTCGCTTAGAATCATCCATTTCCACTTGCTAAGAAGCACTAGGTTGAATCTCCTGCAATGCAATGCAATGCTTAATGTAACATCATATTTTTCGTATTTAATTAATTTGTGCTATTTTAATTAAATTTGTGATGTGTTGGTAAATTGTTTTATTTTATGTGTGGAGGTAGAGGGCCTAAAACGAGAGAGCATAACATTTAGAAATAAAATGAGATTTTTATTTGATTTAATTATTTAAATTGAGAAAAATAGAGTTTGGGGTAGAAATTCGAAGTTTATTAGAATTTGGGGTGTGATTTTATAAACAAATAAGTATGTTTAATTTGTTTTGTTTAAATAGAAAATTGGGAGAAAATAGATTTAGTTTACAATATGTGAAATAAGAGCAATTTGAGAAAAGAAACAAGCAAAAGTTTGGAAGAGGGAGAGATAGGAGAAGACACCATTGACAAAGCTTAGAGATTATGCAATTCTAAGGTAAGGGAGAGAACTGCTCATGTGTGGGCGCTTAGGAAAAGAGGATTTATAAGGTTCCTTACCCTCCTCCTTTGGGGTTTTTCCCTTTTCACCATTGTTGAATGGTTTGGAGCTTGAGATGAGTTTTCGTAGAAATCTTTCATGATCTTTGTGTTTTGATATTAGTTTTCTTGTATTCATTTCATGTCAATTTTGTGTGAATCTATCTAATTGAATTCTAAAATTTGATATTCTTATGAATTGTGTTGCAATTGTTGAATGTGATGATGATTTTGAATAATATTGATGTAATATAAGTTGATATGTGCCTATTTGAGTGGTTTAATATGGTATTAACATGTATGGTTGAATTTCATGTGTGTGGGAATGATTGGGATCGAAATCGGAGCTTTGATAGGGCTCCACTAGTTAAAAATTGTACTTTCTAAGTTGTGGTATGAGCGATACCTCGCACAACGAGATATGCAGAGTGAGAAATTCTAGTTTCTAAGATGCGCGCTCAGTGAGAGAAGAGTTCACTTAGCGAATGCTCGCCCAACGAGCTGTAGGTCGCCCGACGAGGATGACAATACATAATTGAGTTGTTTTCGAGTTCATTTGTGATAGTGTGATTTTTTGACGATTAATCAATATTGTCATGTACTGTTTGAGATTATGTGATTCTGTTTTATGTGAAACAATTCATTTTATTAAATTGATAATGATTATGCATGAAATGGTTGAGTTTATGATGAGTTGTGACCAATTGATTGATAATGACAAATGTTGAGCTTCATGGTGAATGGCCATGAAAGTGTAATGGTTGAGATGTGAAGAGTTCGATTTAAATAGGGGACCTTGGGGCAGCCCAGTTCAAAGAGGGGGCCGTGGCTGGATGTAAATCAGTAACAACCCTCTGACCATCCAAAAGTCTTGGTATCACATGCATATAAAGTTGAGTTTCGAGTTCAGTTCAGAGAGGGCACTGTGACAAGCATTGGCAGAGTTAAGGAGTCGGGAATTACATACATATCAGCATTGAGTTTGAGTTAACTGCTTATATGAGTTGATGCAAATGAGTAATTAATTATGTGAGTTTATTGGGAAGTTTGGTATGAGTTTATGTTATTAATGATATTCTGGTAGTTGATATAAGTTGTGAGACTAATAACATGTTTTTTATCTATCCTTGTTGTTTATGCACACTATCTATATATGAATGTATTCTCATGATTTTCTATTTATTGTTGCGTCTATGCTCCTCTTGGGTATGGACGACAAGGTACAAGAGTAGATGCTTGATACTAGAGGATGGTGTTGTGCCTCTTTAGTTATTTATCGTTCGGATCTTAGTGGATTCGCTCTGATATATAACACTGGGGAACGAGTTATTCTATATTTTCTTTTGTTGCATGTCTTATTTCTTTTGGGGATTGTTGAACCACTTTCTCATTCATTGTTGTTGAGATTCATATGTTAAACTTTTGGTTTTCCGGTGCTTATTTCTGAAAGTATTAATTGTGGTTCTTTTATGTTATGGTGAAACATGTGTGACACTCTATTTGTTGAGTTATATTGAATTATTTTATTAAATGTCGAGTCGAAGAAATAAGCAGTTACACTTAACCCCGAGACCTTCGTACTCCTTTAACTTACAAACCTTAGGCCAACTTACCAAATTAACTTTCTTATTTTCATCTACACCACCCTAAAGAAAAACTCTTTGTAACATAATGATCTCTTTAACAATCACCTTTGAAGCCTTATAGAAAGAGAAGAAGAAAATAGGGATGTTACTCAAAATTGAATTCAAAACACCACCTTACCCCCATTCTATAAATTCCTATTATGCCAAGCTGCAATCTTACTTCTAAAATCTTCAAAAACAACCAGCCTCCACACCTCCCTTCTTCTACAATAAACTCCAATAGGAATTCCAAGAAAAATAAATGAATGGGAACCAATACTGCAAGCCAAGAAAGATGTTG